CTCCTCATCACCACCATCACCATCATCGTATTCCACACCATCGTCATCATCGTCATCATCACCATCATTATCACCATCATCATCATCACCATCACCATCACCATCATCATCATCATCATCATCACCGGTTGCATAGTCGTGTGATGGGAAGCAACACTGCAGAAATGTGGCAATATTTTTCTGGGAGGCTTGCCTACCGCAGAGACGCCCGCATCAGACGTGGCCTCGGAGACTTCCGATTATGTCTAGCCTTTTTTCTACAGAGCAAGGCTGCTCGAACACAGGGAGTGGAGGACTGTGCGCAGCAGACAGAGCTGTTCCAGGATGGCTAGCGGCTCAAGTTTATAGAGCCTGCACCCTGGCCGTAGAGGCATTAAGCCTGTAGCCGACACGTGACCCGTGGTTTTCAGCTGAGGCCCTGGATGAGCCGAGACCCACAGGAGTCCGCCAGCATCTGTGGGGCAAGCGATTGAAGGTTCTTTGGTCTCGGTCGGATTACAGTGTGCAAAAGCACCTCCTCCTCCTCCTACTACTACTACTACTATTACTACTACTACTACTACTACTACTACGACGACTACTACTACTACTACTACTACTACTACTACTATTACAACAACTGCTACTACTACTACTACTCCTCCTCCTACTACTACTACTACTACTACTACTACTACGATTACAACAACTGCTACTACTACTACGACCACCACCACCACCACCACCACCACAATTACGATTACGACGACGACTACTACGTCTACTACCCCTGCTACTGCTGACGCTACTACTGGTGCTACTTCTGCTGCTGCTACCGCTGCTGCCAGGGCTACTGCTACTGACTCCTACTCCTGCTCCTACTCCTACTCCCTCTACCCCTACTCCTCCTACTACGTCTACTACTGCTGCTACTGCTGCCGCTACTGCTAGTGCTACTGTTGCTGCTGCTACCGCTACAAGCTAGTGACTCCTACTACTCCTAGTCGTACTGTTGTACTCCTGCTCCACTACTCCTACTCCTCCTACTACTCGCACTCCTACTCCTCCTACTCCTCCTACTGCTACTGCTACTGCGAATACTCCTTTGCATTGCTTCTGCTACTGCTCCAGTTTCTGCCGCTACTACAGCTCCTCATGCTTCACCTACTACGACTGTGACTACGACTACGACGACGACGACTGCTACTGCGCTGCTTGCGCTGCTTGCCTGCAGAGGGTTTCGGCCGGTCCGGAGATCTGCAACTGAGCTTCAGTGGCTTTGTTGTTTCTGCTGCGCTTATGTGACATAGGCGCAGAAGAACATATGATTCGTCTGTACTCATTAATTAAGCATTACCTGAGGAGACTGTACCACAACTTTGCGCTAGTTACCGGTCGCGCCACGAACTCTACCGCAGAATACAGACAGCCCTGCGTGAAGGAAGCTCCCTTCCGGTGTGCAGCCCTTCGTCACAGGCTCCGGACAGTCATGAGGTTGATTCGCTGTTGTTCCGACAACAACAACACCACCAGCAGCAGCGCAGCTGCAACACCGCCGCCAGCACCAACAACAACGACAACAACAACGACAACAGCAGCAGCAGCAGCAGCAGCAGCAGCAGCAGCAGCAGCAGCAGCAGCAACGACAACAACAACAACAAGGACAACTGTTTTAGTACTAGCACGACGACTTCCATTACCTGTGTTGTTCTTCTTCTTGTCTTACGACCATTATCATCATTATTGTCAGAGCCCAACACCATCTGGGAACCGCAACCACGACATGATTTCCCATCTGAAGAGATGAAGAAGCTGGGCTTAATCCTGCAGGCTTCGGGCATGTAGGGTTTAGGGTTTAGGCTTTAAGCTTGGCGGGTTTGGTTTAGCCAGTTGAAGCTTCAGCTTCTCCGGCTGTGAGGATGTTGACGCATGGAGGTTGAGGGTTCCGAGTTTGGGGTTTAGGGTTTAGGGTTTAGGGTTTCGGAGTTTGCGGGCACGTGGCCCAAGCTTGCGAGGCTCTGCAACACCTCTCGGTTCAAAACCTCTGCCAGACATCCCCAAACCAACGAAGCCCCCAACTCCTCAAGCCCCCAGCCTTTAATTTATCCGATAGTTAGTCGAAGCCTCTCACGCACCAAGAGCGCACTGATGAACCCTGAACCCTAAAACACCTCCAGACACTCTAACCCCTAAACGAGATCCCAGACCGTTACGTGGCGGACCCCATCAGAGCTCTTGTCAGGCCTTCGACGTCAAGGCGGAGGTGCTTGACAACACTTGGTGTAGCTGTGGTTTTGGGGCTTTGGGTCTCTTTCGCCATAATGCCCCTAAGCCCCAAAAGCCCTAGACCCCTAAAGCCCTAAAGCCCCAAACCCCGAAAGCCCTAAACCCTGAACCCACGAAACCCTTAAAGCCCTAAAGCAATAAACCCTTAAACCCCTGAGCCCCAAAGTCCTGCACCACAGCTCTCGAAGCCTTGAGAATGGGAAGGATCTATAGGGATCTATTGAGATCTATAGGGATTTATGGGATTTATGTCGGGTGAATAAGGTATCTATAGGGAGGTATTCGGGTCTACAGGGAGTTACAGGGTATCTACCAGGATATATAAAGGATCTAGAAGGCATCTATAAGGCATCGGTCGGGATTGCCTGTAAGAATGTATAAAGGTAGAACCCATGTATGAAGGGGGGCCTTCTGGGATTGGTAGAAGGATCCCAAGAAAGACAGGTTTAGTCTCTTTCGGGTTTAGTGTTTAGGGTTTGGGGGTTTGAGGGTTTGGGGGGTTTCGGGGGTTTAGGGGGTTTATGGGGGCTTGGATTTAGGAATGTCTAAGACTTTGGATTGAAGGTTCAGGGATGTTAAGGGAGTGGTAGTTTAGGGTTTGGGGGTTTGAGGGTTTGGGGGGGTTCGGGGGTTTAGAGGGTTTAGGGGGCTTGGATTTAGGAATGTCTAAGACTTTGGATTGAAGGTTCAGGGATGTTAAGGGAGTGGTAATTTAGGGTTTGTGGGTTTGAGGGTTTGGGGGGGTTTCGGGGGTTTAGAGGGTTTAGGGGGTTTGGGTTTAGGAATGTCTAAGACTTTGGGTTGAAGGTTCAGGGATGTTAAGGGTGTGGTAGTTTAGGGTTTGGGTTTGGGTTTAGGGTTTTGTGAAGCTCAGAGGAGGACCCTGGTGTAAGAGAGGGACCTCAATCTTTAGATTAGGGTCGGGGGTATCGGTATATTCTGGTATACTAGTAACAGGGACTAGAATGGGAGAATAGTACAAATCGCTCCGACCCAGTGTAGCCTTGAGTTTACATCTTAGGCTTACATGAGGGATTTGGGGGTCTTTGATAGCACAAATACCCGCACGGAGGGTCTCTCTGCATCCCCCGACTAGATCCACATAGCAGACGTGGAAGTTCTCACTGCCCTGCTAAACCCTAAACCGTAAATACTCAACCCTAAGCCCTTAGGCCGAAGCCCTGGTGTTCTGGCCCCCGAAGCCAAAGCACAAGTAGGGTATTCGGGGTATTTGAGTAGAATTAAACCCTAAACCCTAAACCCTAGGGTTTAGGGTCCAAGGTTGAGCATAGTAAGCCCAGCTTTGCGCACGAAGGTGCGCCGGGAGGTGGATTCGCAACGGGCAGAGCTCCTCATGGAGACAACGAGGTGCCAGGTTTAGGGCCTTATTTTAAGGTTTAGGATTTAGGGTTTGGGAGCCTGACTAAATACATGATTTTTCTTTCCTGCGAGGGTTCCTTGTTATATGTAAAGGTGTCCTAATAATGTACCCAAATCCTATTCTAGTGATTAAGACCCCTAAGTTAGAGGCCATGGAGGTTAGGGCTTTGGAGTTTTACGTTGCGGATTTAGGCTTTAGGGCTTGGCAGGCTTTTATCAGTCTCAGACAGATGTGGGATGCTTGCGGCGATGTAAGGTTTAGTTCTAGGCTCTACAGGGACACAAAGTACTACATTTACTGAGTTCCCCAATACCCAACCCTTAAACTTTTTGGGTTCTTCTAGTTTAGTAGTAATCGGAGAGTTTAACCTTTTGTTTCTGTGGCTTATTGGGGAAGTAAGTTTAGGAGTTCATTAGGAAAGTTCCTCGGCCTGTAAGAGAGCTGCCTTGAGAGCAGATCTCCAATTAGACGATGATGAAGTGTTGGGCTCTTTACATTGCTTTGTAAGCACAAGGCGAGGAAGGGGCTCTGCCCAATGTCGAAGGGTTCTTCTAAGGTTTCGATCTCTCTTTTCGAGCTCTCTCTTCTGTCTTGAAAGGCCAGAAAGGGATACAGTATCGGTTCGAGTGTTTACAGACAGTGCTTCTTGGCTTTTAGGGTTGAGGGCTTCGGGGTTAAGGGATGTTAAGGGTTTATGGGTTCAGGGTTTTAGGGTTTTAGGGGTCATATGTAAGGTTCTAGTATATAATACTATAGGGATTCAGGGTTTAGGGTTTAGGGTTTGGGGTTTAGGGATTCCGGGTTTAGACAAGTCCAAGTCTTTGCATCATGGTGCCTGCTGACTCGGCGTCATGTGGGGGAATAGAACGAGCTACATGTGGAGAAGCACCCTAAAGTAGGCAGTAATGTGCAACATGCATCCGACTCCTTAGTCCTTGTTTAAAAAAGGCAGGCTATATTATCCAGTACATTTCACATACCATGCTATACGTTACTGTACTAATTACGCTCTATGCTGTATTACACCTTCTGCAATGCGACATTGTGTGTTGTATCGCTGCGTATGCACCAGGTGAAACCGCAAAGCTTTGGCAATTCTTGGCAATTTGTTTCTGCCGTAGATTCCTCGGGCGTCGCGGAGATTGCAACAGCTTTGGTTGCCGGTTCCGCAGCTCGCTTTGCCTCAAGATCATCAAGATCAGATCAATTTTGCTAACTTTTGTACCTCGAGGCCCGTTGCTGCCATTGCAGTTGCTCGGGCGTTGTTGGCTGGGAACTGTCTACTTAGCGCTCTGCATGTGCCTTCGGAAGTCCCATGAGCAGGGCTTGAAGTCAGACCCGATGGGCAACCAAGGTTAAGGCCCATGACGCAATCCCAGACCTTTGTGGCAGAGCCCTCGCCTGCGGATCTTGCGAAACATCTTCAGCAGCCACTCGGGACGACAGAGTTGTTTAACCCGAAATCTTAAATCCCGAAACCCTATAGCTTCCACCCGACCTAAACCCTAAACCCTAAAACCTAAACCCTAAACCGTGGCAATTAGCACCGAGGCGTGTAACTATGTTCCATGCTGGGGAGGAGCTCTATTCCGGAAAGTGGCTCGCCGACTTTCAGAATCTCGGCTAGTGCCTGGAAACTGGGGGTTTTGCAGTTTCAATGGCTTCTGTGAGCTGGGAATCAACGCGCAGCCCATGATTTTATGCAGTTTTTGGATTGAGTTCGTTTTTGCAGCCCATTATTTTATACAGTTTTGGGATTGAGTTCGTTTTTGCTTAAGACTTCCTCAGATCGCGCTTAGGAAGACAGGGCTCACGGCATGGCACATCTGCATAGAGAAGCTCCAGATGGGCCCGCTGCACAGCTGCGACGGAGAACTGCTGCAGGCCTTCTGTGCCCAAACGCTGGCACGGCTCTCACGTGCCTTCGCGAGTTGGTTCCCTGATGTCGAGTCGCGCGCGATTGCGAGGGACTGCCTAGAGTCGCTTCTCACTGGGCATGCCCATGGGCAAAGTCTCTGGGTCCTTGTTGGATACAAGTTTACATTTTTGCTATAATAAAAGCCCACCAAGGATATCAACATGATCATAATCTTAATACAATAAGATCCCAGAAGGATTTTAAAAGCTATGATCATCATGTGAATATAGCCCCCAAAGTGATCCCTAAACCCTAAACCCCAGGTCTGGTTTGGAAGCAGCTTGCGCTGGCCCTGGCTTGTGCGGAGCTGTGGCTCGGTACTTGGGCCGCAGCGGCTTCGCTGAACTCCAGCCTCCCTGGGACCGTGAGGCGCTTTAGGGGTTTAAGGTGTAGGGTTTAGGGTTTAGGGTTCAGGGTTTAGGGTTTAGGGTTTAGGGTTCTGTAGGGTTTAGGGTTCTACGGTTTAGGAGTATAGGGTCTAAGGGTTTGCGTTTGGGGTTT